TTTGTTGCCCCCATTCTCTGTCAGCAAATTCTGAGGTGGCTGGGGCAGGTGCACCCCTTCTTGCCACCTTCTCTGATGGAGCTCTCTTATTGAGGCGCCTGCAACCTATGCTTGACCTCCTTGGGCTAGATGGTGAGTTTTGACGACCAGCAGGAACATGCGCTGTATGATCTTGGTCATCCCAAGGTCATGCACGCTCTCCCCTTTCCAAGAACTTCATGGGCTCTTTCCTAAGTGGCATATCTTCTCTTTCTTACAGGCTTGAAAAACCTCACACAAACTTGGATTCCTTCAAGACTTTGCCACAGCCTCTATCACACATCTGCTTCTTAGAAATAAAACATTAAAAATATTGAGTAGTAATAATATGTTCCTCTTCTACACTGTATACAATTTCAAGGAGGAGAAGAGTGCAAATTCTAAAAAAAAGTATTGGGGAACATCTGGTTTGAAAAGGTATTTTCAAGCAAAGCAACAAAAAGAGCAAGTATTTTTGTATCGAGCATTTTAAGTTGAAAGATCCTATGCTGGGATGGATAATTGATGAAGCGCTTGACTTTTAAATGCCTGTAATTAAGGTTTCTCTTTTCCCTATCCTTTTAAGCTGCATGTTCAAGGCATGTTTTTAAATCTTGTTTAGATTTTTAAAACTATATTGTTAAAATGTACAGACATTTTGGTTATCCTGGCTGGGAGCCCGAGATGATGTGTGTTGAACATACAAAGTGTTCCTGTGGTACATATTCATGTTTCTACTAATTGTGCAAAATTATATTGAGCAAGACAATCAAAAATATGTTTTTTTAAACTTTGGAATATGTGAGTTTGACAGCTGAGTTCAAACTGTATTTTCTTCATGTGCAACTGCATGGAAATGGCACTTTCTAGTGCACAGTATGACGCCAGGGAAAAATTCAAGGTGAAAAAAGTGCTTCCGTACTTGCAATGATGGTTGTGGCTGTTACTGCAAACAGCTTCCATTCAGATAAACATGTCTCAGTGTGCAGTTGTGTACCCTACACAATTACTGGTGGGGGTGAGGGCTGTTGTGTTGCCCCAGTGGGATGCACTTCTGTGTAGACATGCATTGGATTGCAGTTAGCCACCCAGCGGTTGTTGGATCACTGCAGGAGCAAAGGACAATTCTGCGGTACATTCATTGGAGTAGAGAGCGCATGGAACCTTCTCCTGGCTGAGAAGCTCCAGCTTCCAGTGATCTAGAAGCCCACCATCCTTTGCAGTTGATCGCCCTTTGGCTACTCGATCACAACATTGGTGGGCCTGACTTTACCTGGCTGGCTGAGCAGGAGTTACTTGTTGTAATGCAGTTGAACCCTTCTTGGACCTGCTTTCCCACCAGGTCTTGTTAATGTTTGTCTGAAGAGTAAGCATCTTCAGTTTCTTATTGAAAAAGTTAATCTTCAGGGAAACACGACTGATGTGTCACAACATTAAAGACTTCAAAGACTGTAAACTTCAGAAGTGGGATTGAAACTACCCAAGTGAAAATAAATGGATGACTTGAGCAAAATTAACATGTGACAGGAGGTGGCTGAATAATTCTAAAGGGAACTGCATTGGAATTATTCAGCCCAAAGTGTGATTTTTCTGTATCCCATTATATTGGCATGGGTGGAACAGATGCTTCCAATTTGTTTTCTTTTTTAAGTTGTTAAAAGGTACTTTTCTATTGTAATTTTCTAAAAATAAAGACAATGACTGTAACTTAAAATATTCATAAATCAATGGATTACCACACAGTGTCTGGTTATTTACATCCCTCTGCTTGAGATAATGCAAGAATAAACAGGGAAAATAAACTGCTTCCTGGGAATGGTGATCTTCAAAAGGGTTTCTGCATGGGTCAGGCTTGCCACCTTCTTGGCAGCAAGCAAGCCCAACATAACTGGGATTTGGCCCCAGGGACTGCTGCATCCCTCCATTAATGGAAGGTTCTTTCATTCAAATATGGAAGGGGAGGCAGAAATTTTTTTGCTGAGCCTCCCTCCCTGCCAGCCAGAAAGTAAGAGCAACCTTGGCTTGATTCAGACAACCATCTGCACTAGCCTGTCTCACTAGTTCACACATTTTGCAACACTGAGCAAGACCATTCATTACAATCTGAGCAGAAACTGGGTGAGGCATACTCTAATCTTAGGGTCCATGATGATGGCTTGTAGAAGTAACTGCATAATTTCAGTAAGTGCCAAAATGGCCTGCTCAAAGAATCCAGTTAAAGTTGAAGCAACTTTAGAATCTTGAATAATTAACCATTTTGCCTCTTGTCTGTTCCTTTTGAAACAATCTCTTTATGCAACTAAAAAGACCCTTGTTTGCCATGTTGTATATTGCAAAGGGAACTTGAGAATTAGCAATGAACAATTACTGAATGGGCAAAAAATGAGGGTGACTACTTTTGAACTCCTTCACTTGTAGCAAACTAGTATCGTGTATTCCTAGATAATAGGAGAATTAAAGGACCTCTATCAACTGACTTCCATGCTGGGAAATTACTTGTTCAGAGCTCTTTTCATTCAAAGCGCTTTAGCTCAGTAAGACATTAATATAATTAGCAACGTTTGGCTTTCTGTTCTCCCAGACCCTTAACAGTACCTGCCTGGCAGAACATCATGCATAACACAGATATTGCTGTCTTGTACTTATTTAGACAGGGGTCAGTCCTACAACTCCCAACATGCACAAGACTGCACACTCAGAGCAAGGCTCTTCTGCCCCCATAACCTAAGCAGTGGCTCCAGTTGGTTTGAAACCCAAGTGCAGAAAAGTTCCATCACCAACACTGGCATTAGTCAGCTACCTTCTCTCCACTGCTCTAACATGTCATGCTGCCTGCCCGTAAATCTCTTCTACACTAAGGCAACAATGCATACTGGAGGGATGGGAAACCTGATGCCCTCCAGGTGTTTGGGGCTACATGTCTCATTGACCCCAGCCAGTTTGAACTACGATCAGGGATGAATGGAATCGTCTTCCCCGCTTCTAACATTCGCTGCGCTGTTGCAAATGTAGCACAAGGTTGTTCATAACCCTGGTTAAGAGACTGGGAATGTACTGCATTAACAAATGTATTCTAGTCTCACTTTCCAGTAGTGAATTTTCTCTTCCCAGCCTAACACAGACTTATGGAAACCGTCTGCAATGGCTAACATTAATTGTGGTTCCCATTTTTGAAATCTGAACCAAGAGGTAAATCATTTTTACTTGGCACTTGTTAGCAGGAGAAAGAGAAATTACGTTAACTTGACTGAAGGTACCTTGCAGTGAAAAAACAGCTATTTTTAATTGCGCCAAGGCTGTGTCTGCTGCTGGTGGTCTCTAGGCAACAGGACACAGAGGAATTCAGTCCAGCACATTAGCAGCAACCTGAATGTGAGCCACAGAGCTGGAAGTAATTGGATGTCACTGCCATCACTATCTCTGTGGTTATCCCTACCTTCAAATCCCTTTCCATCAGCAGGTATCAAGAGCCGAGTACTCCCCTGAGTCCTACCACCATCTGCCTGCGCTGATCAGAACTGACAAGAAAAGCCAAACGGGCCTTCTTTACACAATTTGTCGAAGCCCACTTGCCTTTTTCTCCTCCATTCTCTAAAAGCCTGGAAGGAGTGTGATGAATTATAGATCAAATGCATTACAAACTGCTTCATGTCAGTTCTCTCAGGCAACCATGCAAAATCCTGCTGGTACTTCTCTTTTCATTCTCTTCCTTCCCTCTGCCATCCTTCCATCGTCATAAATATCAGGGGAGAAACTTAAAGTACCCTTCTGTTACAGCAATTTGTAGAGCCAGCATCCAACAGATTTCTATTTCGAGTGCCAAACTGATAAAACTGAAAAATTACACACTCAATTTGTGATGACTAGATTTTTTAAAGTGGCGCTAGCAACAGATTGCCTGTTACATTGATGCAAAAGCAATTTTGTTGTTTGTGGATTTCTAGGTACAGTTTTAACCTTTGGAGCCCAAAATAACCTGGAGAAAATGCGTAATACTATCCTGCCCACCTTAAGCTAAAATCATTCAAAGATGATTTGGTGTACATGTCCTTTCCTACTAGATAAGTGAAGCCATTCATTATCAACTACAGCTTCCTTGCAGACTGGAAAGCTGTGCCTCATTCTTTTTAGATTTATTTTAATCATGGGATACATGTGCACATGCACACCCAGGATTTTCTTGTATTTGCATTCATCCGGTCAAAATAATGAGGAAACATACTCTCATCTTTGTTTTCCTCATTGTTTCCTACAAAGTCATAGCCAGGGCCTCCTTCCAGTTGCTATGAAAACTGGAGGCAGGCCAATCCCATAGATTATCCTAAGCTTCAAAATATTGCACTTGAATAATTCATTTTGAATCACAAATAAGATAGGGCCAAGGAACATACTTTAATTAATATCCTGTTTTTCAAACTAGAAGGATACTTGGTATCTGAGGAGTTTTAGAAAAGACAGTAACAATTGCCTGATAACTCCCCATCCCATTTTTGTTTGGATAGTAGATAAATCCATTAAAATGGTAACTTGTCCCATATTTTTCTGAATGCAATGAGGACATTGGAAGAGAAAACTAACACAGATAATAAGGCTTGGAAGAAAAGTTTGTTCCTCCAGAAATTATGTAAGCGTTTAAAATGAACAAGGATATGACCAGGAGAGGCAGCAGATTTTTGGAATTCTGCCTGGCATCTAAGCTGCAGATTCTCCACGTAAGTTGAGCTGTACGAAACATACTTGTGCAAATAATGCACAATCTCAGTAATGTGAGTGGGTCCTCCATAGGTGACCAACTGGACTGTACTCAAGATTAATGGAGGTCTTCAGGACAATACATGAGGTACCTTTATTTGAGAAGGAAAAGCTCAGAGTGCCTCTGAAGCTGTATCTTGGCAATGCCTCTTTTTTATTTTCTGTTTTCAGTAAAAGCTGAGCAAACATCAGCTTTTATTTCTGTTCGGTCAATAAGAAATACACTCATCTTTCTAGAATGATTTTATTATAAACATGTTTCCTTGGCATAGATAAAACACTCAGTTTTATCTCCAAATCAAACCCAGATGAATAAAAAGAAATACCTACAGAACCCCAAATAATTTTTTCAGAAAAGTCTTAAACGATGGACATGAACATGGGCATTACATGCTGAATATATTTAACTCCAATATCAAAAATCTACTGTCAGTGAACAGCTCTGATCCAATTTCACAGTAGCCAATAAAAGAAGTATTAGGTTCTTTGATCTCGGGATCTGTTTCTTTTCGGTTGCTGCTGCACTGAGAGTGGGGAGAACCACATCACATTATGCGCAGGACACATGTCCTTCAGAGCTCCTGCATCAAAGCTCACAACAGTTCATCCCAGAAGGCCCCCTATTTGCCAGGAACCACATCAGAGTAATCCTTCAAAACACCAGCCAAATGGTCATTGTGAGTCTTGAACCTCCGTTTCTTCTGAGAAGCGGGCTTCTTCCTCTTCTGAACAGGAGCCTAAAAGGGGAGAGAGCCAATCAGCATTTTTATTTAACAAAAATAAACCCACTGAGAGCTGCCTTGCGGGATGAGACCGTGCCACCCAACATTCCCACATCACCAACAGTGCAATACAAATGCCCCTGAGAAGCTCACAAGCAAAGCATAGTGGCAGTATTCATTTATTTATATCCCACTTTTTTTTTTCCTTCCAAGGAACTCGGGGAGGCTTATGTATCTCTCCTCCATTTTATCCTCACAACAGCCACCCCGTGAGGTAGGCTGGGCTGAGAGTCTGTGCCTGGCCCAAGGTCACCCTGCTGGCCCCATGGCTGAGCAGGGACTAGAACCCAGATTGCCTGCATCCCGGTCCTGCAGTCTTACCCACTACACCACACTAGCTCATCTTCTGACAACTGGAAGTGCAATACCATTGAAAGTGGAGGTACTGTTTTAGCTATCATGGCCAGTAGCTACCAACTCTCCATGAATTTGCTGGATCCTTTTGGGAATCCTGTAAGTTGGTGGCCATAAAGTCATCTTGTGGCAATGAATTCCATACATTCTCAGGCTAAGATTTGAGAGGAGGAGGAGGAGAAATATGAAATATAAATATTTAATATTTATATTAAATATAAAATATAAATATTATATTTATGTCCTGGCTTGAGGCAGGATATAAATATAATAAATATTCTTTAATGTCAAGATCTTGGATGACTGCCAGTTCTTGAGGCTCATGGATGTGGACAAAGCGCGTGGCCCAATGTGGCCAGCCACCTGATTGCATCTAATATGGAGGGAGTGTTCACAGTTGCGTCCAGAGGGTCCACAATTACTTTACCACATAGTTATAAGCTTTGCTCATGTTTATAAAGATGGCAGTGCTTTTTTTTTCTTTTTGAGCTTGCATTCAAAGGTGTCTGATAGCTACTACAAGACAAACCAGATGTATAAGGATAGGTTGTATCCAAAACTGAGAGCATTCATCATAGGCTGCATACATGCAATGTGGTGGTAAAAGAGACGTTCAACTTTCTTTTAAAAAGTCACCGTAGTTTCCCTCTTTCATGGTTTGGAAACAAATCAGTAGTATCTAGCAGAACTAGAATGAGTAACATGTTTTAGCTGCTCTTCCAACTCTGTTGTTAATGACCTCTTTTGGCTTTGTATGCAGTAGGCTCTCTATTTTTTCTTTGAAAGTGGGAAGCCAAGCCACATGTGTAGCACAATCCTGACATGATCATTAAAGCTGAATTAGATGCACCCCAGGTTCCTCTTCCTTCCTGCTCTCGCCTCAAATGGATCATTTCCCCTTAATACAAGAAGACGGAGGGCCAGGCTAGACATGTTAGCAGCAACTGTGCAGTCTTTTCAGGGTTCATATCTTGTTTCAAACTCTGGGTATTAACGTTGGGGTGGGGGAAGCACTCTGAAAGTATCCCCTTTGCCCCTACAAGGAGACATTAAAAGGGTCTGAGAGTTGTACATATTTCTTCTAAGTCTAATCTGGCCCAGAGAAGCCAAGGCAGAAGTACGCCATTAAGGCTGACAGAAGTCAGGAAGTCGAATTGCAAACATACACAGTGTGTTTGCGATTTGAAAAGGAAGCCATGTACTCAGGTTCATCACAGGAAGGTGTTACATGTAAAGCAGCTCCTGTAAGAGCCATTTTGCTGGAAAAACCCATAAAAGAATCGTGAAGCTGTACTTCTGTGTGTTCAACTACATGTACAGCATTCACTGCCTCCGTGGGGAGCTGCGTGCAGGTGGCTGCCGCTCCTGTCGGAAACCTCCCCAAATCCAGGGCAAGCAGCAGAAGGGAACCCTTGCTTACACTGTGCTACTTCACCAGGGAGTGGCACGTAAAGGGTTCAGAGGGCTACAAATGTTTGCCTTGGATCCCAGGCAGGCAGCAACAGTGACCATGCAGACAGTCCAGGCGCGATCCTTGGCATCTCTAGGCAGCACACGAAAAAGGCCTATCTAAAATTGTGCAAAGCTGCAGCTGCCAGTCAGAGTCACTGACACTAGGCTAGATAGACTGATGGTCTGACTCAGAAGAAGGCAACTTCCTAATGGTTGGGGGCAGGAGAAGGATCGTTGCCTCAGTTCCTATCTGCATGACAGCCATGGAACACCTAGAATCATAGTATACTGGAGGTGGAAGGGGCCATGAAGGCCACCGAGTCCAACCCCCTGCTGGTGCAGGACACCAAGTTACACCATCCCATGCAGATGGCTGCCCAGTGTCTTTTTGAATGTCGCTAGTGTGGGAGAGCCCACCACCCCTCTATGTAGCTGGTTCCACTGTCGTATTGCTCTGACAGTGAGGAAGCTTTTCCTGATGTCTAGCCTGAATCTGGGTTGTTGCAACTTGATCTGCTTATTCTGTGTCCTGCACTCTGGCATCAGCAAGAAGGGATCTTGACCTTCCTCTTTGTGACAGCCTTTGAGGTACTTATAGAGGGGTGTCATGTCGCCCCTCAGTCTTCTCTTCTCAAGGCTGAACATGCCCAGTTCTCGCAGTCTCTCCTTATAGGGAAGTGTTTCCAAACCCTGGATCATTTCTGTTGCCCTGTTCTGGAACCTTTCTAATTTTCTGCATCTGAGAACAAGCACCACATACATCTTGAAACGAACCACTATGAACTTTCCCTGGTGTGCTTGAAATTCATGCATGTCCCCAGTTAATACAGATTAAATATGTTCATTTGTCCAGTCTCAATTCTACTTCTCTTCAAGTTCATTAAGAATTGACACATTAACAGTGGAACAGAATACAGCAAGCTGAGCAAAGAAAGGGCTTGTCATGTTCTTACTATTTTCTTTGGGCCCGAGTCCTGCATGGAAGAAATACCCTGGCGTTTCAGATACTCTTCTATCTTCTCTTCATCCATGGAATCCACAGGAACACTCCTCCAAAGTTTCTGAAATTCTAACATGCCAAAACAGAGTGCTAATTATTAGACATGGTGCTAGGGAAATAACACAGATAGTACCTCATTGTATTCACAATTATTCTACTCATGCAAGTGGATACCTACAAAAGTGTAAGCAGATCAGAAATGCTGCTATGCCTGATCATCATGACCCTGCAGATTCCAGCAGGTGCCAAAAATCTCAGTAAGATGGAGGGGAGGTTTCATTTTGTAGCAGTGAGTCTGATTAGAGACTCTCTTTTAGGAAAGACTCCCAATAATTTGTGACTCGGAGCAGTTTGTCATATGGATTGTGCTATGTTTTATGAATATTCGGATGCCTGAAATTAAACATCCACCAGGTCTGATATTAATATACTCAGGCCTGCACTGGAGAGCAACTGTGACCATTACCCTCCTCAGGAATACCATGTTATCCTATTTGATGCTTCCCATCTTCCTACTGCCAATATACGCAGTGGAGGCAAGTAAAATTGAGCTCCATTACCCGATCTGTTACAAGTTACTGGGAGAAACTGGCTGGTGGCACCCACCCATTTCCAGAACATCTAGTCCGGCCTTGAGATATATAATTAATAGCAAATTCATCACGCTTTTACTCCAGTCTGTAAAATCATGCTATAGTTCCTAGTGACATTTTAAAGAACTCCCAAACCCTTCAAAACTAAAAAGCAGTTGTAGCTTCTTGTTCAGAGAACACAAAGGGGCCCAAACCTTAAAAGATAACCTGCACGCAACCTGCCTCCATATATCGTTTAAAGTGCTATCTTGGAATGTCCTTATCAAGGCTGTGACTGGTACAATTCTACTTCCCTTCATTCCATAGTCATTAGAGCCCTGTCAACAGGCCCAGCTCACAAGCCATAAATAAGAAGCTAAAACACAGAGCCATTCCCAACTACACCACATATTCAAGTTGCTTTGATCTATTCAGTAAATCATTTGTGGCGCTTAGTGCTAACCTAAGAACTACTTCATGACATTTCTTCCTTTGGACACCCTGGTTCCTGAAGCACCACTACTTAAACCTAGAAGAAAGACCTGATATATAAAAGCTGACCTAGAAGTGAGCTATTATTACTATTTGAAAAGTTCTGTCTGAATTCAACCATCATTTTAATAATCAAGGATTTTAGATGGTTTAAGATTTTTTCGCACTCTCTCCACAGTTGCATTTTCTATTCTTTTCCTCCCTTTTCTTTTCTCTAAGTTTATGATGTGGTTTTATTTTAATAATTGAGGGTTTATTATTGTACTATGTAATTTTATATTATGTAAGCTGTCCTGAGTGCTTTTCAGAAGGACGGGATATAAATGTTTGTTGTAGTGGTAGAAGTGGTGATGGTGGTGATGATGATGATGCTCTGAGAGTTAGTACCTCAGGCAGTTCATATCAGTGCAGCTGTTTCAGTCTTTTTGTACACAACGAAAATGGGTGGTGCCTTAAAACTATGAGTAAATATTACACAGTTTAATGCATAGAAAACATGGTTTTGTTTATGGCATAATCATCTTCATCTTGACCACTCCTCAGTCGTCACGTGCTTAGCATCTATAGTGCTCACACATGCGCCTGCAGCATCCCCACTAAAAGGATCTCTGCAGGGCCAAGGCATTACCTTCGAATTGCAGCTGACTGAGGAAGGTAAAGGGATCGGCATCGGAAGGGCTGCAGTCTTCATCCCCGCCTGCAACCAAGCCTGGCAACACGGCATGGCACTGATTCATATTCACCCCACACCATCCCCATCTCCTTGACCCTGTTCACACCATGAGCCGTGCCCACCGAGACTCAAATAAGTCACTGCTGGTTCTGGGATGTGCAGTCAATCTCCACAGCTTAGTATGACAAGCAAACCAGGGCGGTTTGTTGCTGGGCATGGCAGAGCACTCGGAACCCATGTGTGGTAGTAACCATGGCAATAAACCATCCTAACCAATTTGCACATCTCGAGAAACTGTAGTGGCTGCCTACGGTGGTTTGAATATTCACAATGGCAGTCAGCATAGCCTTCAGGGGGAACGGGCAAGTTCCTGGAGGATAAAGCTACCGGTGCTACTAGTCCTGATGGCTCCATGTTAACTTTCGTATCAGAGGCAGCAAACCAGCTGCTGGGAAACTGAAGGCGGAGGGTGCTGTGGCACTCATGCCTTGCTTGTGGCTTTCACTTAGGCTGCTGGGTGGCCACTATGGGAATGGAATGCTGGGTGAAATGGGCCCCAGTCTGATCCACCAGGACTTTTATGTGTGCTGAAGAACAGGGAAAAGCAGCTGCCAGCATAAAGAATGGATGCTCCTTCACGAAATAAAATTTATCTCAGAATTCCATGCAGATTCCCTAGGAGACATGCACAGAACAGGTAGAAACGTGATCGATATGAATCCCAAGCTGGAGAGGGACATGGCAAGTGAGATATCTTAAACGGATACTAAAAGGTACATCTCAAAAGTGGTGCTGGGCAACTGCTGTTCTGCTGAGGCCTTTGGTATGTGGGGTGCCATAGGGTTCAATCCTATATCCCATTCTATTCCACATGGTCATGAATACTCTGGGTGCCCTTGTCCAGAGACGAGTTCCAGTGTTCTTGATATGCTGGCTCTATCTTCTATCTGAGAAGTCTTAAAGTGTTGCATAAACCAGTGTTGAAAAGGTGGACAGCACTGAGACCTTTGAGTTTGGCACTTAAAGACGGGATTACATTGATAAGGGTTTGATATTGTTGCCACCACCTTTTGGTGTACCTGCTTTCACTGGATTCCACCCCCCCCCCCCATTTACTTTTCAGATGAAAGCCAGGCAACTGTGTCCACAACTGCCTATATGCAGTCCTGTCTTGTTAATTTACATGTATATACCAGCTCCATTTCCTGGTTCCCCTTTGATAGTTGAAACTTACAAGGCTATGGACAAGTTTGCAGGCGTGTACCTGCAAAAGACCACCAATAACAACAAAACACACAGTTGCAGGAGCAAAAATACGAACATTGTGACCTCCACTGTGCTCCCTACTAGAACTAGGACTCAGTTCTAGACCATGGGGCAGACGGGGAGAACTGCACTCTGCCAATGAACAAGAGGATTAGCAGTGCCTGTGCCATAGCACTACTGTGGTGTGAAGAACCACAAGAATGGAACCACACTGAGAGCTGGACCTCAGCGTCCCTGTAACTACAACAAAAGTAGGACCACCAGATCTGAACTCCCCAAAATTGTGGCTGCCAGGTGATGAAGGACTTGGCAGGTGAAACGTGCTTCTTTCCTATCTAAGCTTGCCCTCAAATGACTTGGGAGAAAAGCAATTGTTGATTAGTGAGTGAGCGAGTAATTAGTGTTAGTGAGTAAGAAAGCAGGAGCAAACTTACTCACTAACACTGGAGCACTTTATAGCCTGACAAGTTAGGATGAACGATTCTTCTATCAAATACCAGGGTGGGGGGAAGGAAGAATCTGCTCCCCTCCTGCCAGACAAGAGTACACTAGCTGTGTCTAGCTGCACAATCCCTTCACTGGAAGTCACAAGACGAGGTTGAGCGAGCTTATTAGGCTCCCTACTGCTGCTGCTACAGTGGCTGGCTTCTGAAGAGTTTGAATTCAGCTGCCCAAGTCCGCCTGGGCCAACGGCAATGGGGGAAGATGAGCTGGCTCCACCGTGCTGCGGAGCATGGCGAGTGCACACCATTTGTGGTCAACCCACTTGTGACTTCCTCGTCCCTTCCCTGCAGACTAGGCTAGAAGAAAGCAGCAGCAAAGACAGAGAAGGCTCTTGGCTCCTGTTCGAGGTGAGGCTAACTGTTCATTAGCCGTCTTCTGTTTGTGTTTCCTTTGTTGTATCTTTTACCTTCTTTAAGGAGCTCTGGGAATGCCTTCAGTCCCCTAAAAGCAGTGGAGATCTACAGAGGGGTCTCCTCCAATTCCTTGGAAAGTGCCTGGTAGTTCTGTTATTTATTTGGTACTGGAGGCAGAACCTTCCCTGAGCCAAATGCCCCCTGCCTCAAAGAGGGATTTTTTACCACAATACCACTTGTACTGTTGTGGCAGCTGGCCTCACCCATGGCAGCGCTGGAGATGCCATACTGATATGCAGAACATTTTAGGCATTTTAGACATGCCTGCATCTTTGTTTTCTATATCAGTTAAAAGCTTCTAATGCCTTTGCCATTTTTCCACTACTAAAAAAGGGAAAGTTTTAAAGACTGCTGTTTATTGCAAGTTAAATATTGTATTCATATTCTATTTTTAGTTATGCAAGCTGCCTGGAAAACATATGTTGATTAGCAACTACAAAAATATTGTAAATAAGGAAGCGCAGGGTTTGATTTTAAAAATAGATAATTAGGCAGCATGCCAGATTTCAAAGCAACATTTAAAAACAATTGTACTACTAGATCTTCCAGTAAACTCCAAATGTGAGATTGTGCTGCCATCTACAGATTACACTAAGAAACCATTTACCTTCTGCTACAATATTCATTGGATATGACAGTTTGAAATATTTAAGTATTACATTTTGTAATTTGAAAGTAAATGTAAACCCTTAGGAGTATGTAGTTGATATAAGAAAGGCAATAGGGTAGAAACAGCTAATATACAGCATTTCAATGTAGATACTTCATAAGTAATGTATAATACTAATGGTGGTGATAGTGCAACATATAACTGACAAAAAATCCTTCACTCATCATTAAGTTTTATTGGGGAAAGATAGATTACTGCATCTGTTTATAATCCCCTAAATTGGGGAAAAGGCAGTAATTACTTATGGTGCAAGCACTCAATAAAACAGATATTGCACAATTTTCACACTATTTTGAAATACTTTTTTTTCTGAAGGAAAGGCTTTATGGAAAAGCTATCAACCACTCCTCTGTTTAGTATACATATCTGTCCTTTGTATAAAGGCATCTTGCTTTCACATTAGCAGTCCCAACAGGATTCTGAGGTGATTTTGGGCAGACTATTTTGTGTAGAAAAATTATATTCCATTGTACCACTATATGCAGATGGAACATGGAACCCTGCGAGGTAACAGATAATTCCTCCTCAAGGAATATGGACCCGAATCCACATTCCTTTGCCATACACTCATATTATATTTGATCCTGAAAGAATCTGATCTCCTGAACTGACTATCTTAAGCTGGACCTAACACAGGCCTGTCAAAATAAAGAATTATAGGATAGAAATTTCGTGTGTTTGGCTTTTTTGGCCGAAACACACAAGAGCTAGTACTGTTTGCTATAAACAAATCTTGCTTTAATGCTGAGACACTGTTTCTTAAAAGAAATGTTACGGCTTCCAGGAATGCTACTCACTTGATTAAAAATTACAGGCTGACAAACAGGGACAATCCTAGAGGATTGAGTGAGCACAGAAGACCTTATGACTCTAGTCTAGCATCCTGTTACCCACACTGGCTAAGCAGATGACTCTGGGAAGCTCACAAGCAAAACATGAATACAATTGTTCTCCCTGCTGCTACCTCCAACTACATTGTTTCCTTTGAATCTGGGAGGTTCCAGACAGCCATCATGGCTAATGGTCTAAGTGAATGCCTAGAGCTTTCTCCTGGACCTTTGAACACCATATAGTATTAACAGCACAATGAAGCCCAAAGTCCTTTTGGTCAGGATTCTAGTCACTCTGTTCCATTCCTCCCACCCATAGTTCTTCCATGCTGCCCCCCAGCCTCCACCATCAGTTAGTTTTCTCTGCCTCTGGACTATATTCAGTCCTCAAATCCATGTCTGGTTTGGTTCTCAGGACAGCTGAGTGAACACAATCGCACCCTATCCCAGGTATGTTATTTTCTTTAATGTAATTTTTTAATTTCTCCATTGACGTTTATGGGCAGCTCTCTTTTCTGTCCATGTAGACATTAAAAATAGCTTTTCATTCACCTGGTTCACATGACAGTGTAACATGTCATGGAAAACTAGTTAAAATTAGTTGTTCTGTCTTAGACCATCCTGACAACCTACAGCTTGTTCTAAGGATTGTTCATACAGTGATGGGCTGTTGGGTCATCCAAACCCAAGTCAACAATTTCACTGTAGGTTGCAGGCACTGGCTAACAAGCATCTCAGAAAGAACAGAAAAAAAAACCTTCTGCTCTTTGCAATTTTGTCTATACAGTTATCAGTGATAGCTCCTCCACTAATGCCCAAGCAGAACTTTGGTGTGACCTTCACGGGTTCACACCATTTTTTTTTTTTTACTGTTCTTCCTCTCAGAAAATTGCACAACTGTGTTATCAATTTTTTTTGTCAATCTTTTTGAAATACACAACTGTTCTCTTAAGACTATTGATATGTGTAGTCTTGCCTGATCCTTGTTTGTTTCAAAAAATTATGACCACAGCTACTTAAGACTCTGATTCTTTAATGGCAGCAAATAAAAAGGGGGAGCAATCAGAGTAGGCAGGGGAGGGCAGGCCACTAGGGATACTGAACCACACATTGAAACCAGCTGGAGGACTGCGTAGGAAGGAAGGAGAGAACAACCAGGTAGCTCAATCAACTGCTGGGCCTACCGTGAGTTGTTTAGAAAACAACCAAACCACCATGGGTTGTTTACAGGGTGCCTTACTGCTGCTGTGAAAACCTGCCCAATGTGAACAAGGAAAGAACCTATCCAGACAAGGCAATGGTTCTTCCTTACTCTTTGTAACAGGCCTGAACCCCAAAAAGCCAGGCCTGGGTTTCTAGCTCTTTGAAATGTTTGCTTTGCAGCAGCTTATAGTAGTGCAGCAGAGCTTTAGTTAGCGTTCCATGACAGTCTGCTTTCATGAGACTAGGGAGGTTCCCTTTCCGACATTAAGGAACATACACAGTACACATCTGCAGCCTTGACCGTTTCTTACCAGCCATTGCTTCTGCAGGCAAAAGGCAGCAGCAAGTCTCTGCTCTGATGTCAGACAAAGGGAACCTTGGCCATCCAAACGGGAATACTTCTTACAAGGACTTCAGGCCACCACCACTAGGCTGCTTGCTTGTTTTTTACCCTTGCATTCACTTAACAATCACTTGTACTGAGTTTTTATCTAGCTGTTGCATTTTTCTTCTTAAGCTTTTTCCCCGAAAGATTTTTGATATCCTATTAACCTCTTCCGTGTATATAAAGCAAATAATATGAAAAGATTAGTCAGATTCACCTCATTCAAGCAAACCTTTTATTCAGCTTGATTCAGTCTTTCTCCTGAGTCCATTGTAGCTAGCTTCCTCCTGTTAACTCTCTGACAAAGAAGACTGGGCTTTTGTCCATCTGAGCACAGAATAGACAGCAGCACAACCAAGGAGCTCAGGAGAAGAATTAGCTAAGTGAGTGCGGGCACAAGCTTGTTTTTCCCTTTCAGGGGAAACAGAATATGAAGTAGTTAAAAATAAACAACCAAAAGACACTGGAGATCAATGGAAGAACAATTAGATATGACCCCATGCTTAAAAATGTTTTTTAGGCAACACTGAAGAAATCCTGTCTCTGATAATGCAAGAACATTATTGCTAGTTATATATTACATGAACTGAGAGACATGAATGATTCTAAGAACAAGTAAAACATACATTTTATGCCAGATGCACACAATTACTCTAATGAGAAAGCCAACCTTCATCCACTGTAAACTGACAGCTCTTATCGTTGTAGAAAAGAATTTTCTTCTTATCAGGACGTGTAACGAAGATGATCTGGTCCCCTAAAGCCTCAAATACAAATACAGAAATAAGCACTGTTAAGAGCAGTACTTGGAGATTCTCCGCAAGTCTGCAAGAGAACATTCAGCACCAGAATGTCTGTGGGCAATCAGCACCAGAAACCCATTTCAGAATCCAAATGAGACAGAGGCCTGCAGTTAATTTGTTTATGATCTCAACAAGTAACATAACCTAAATCATTTGAAAGTATTTTGCAAACAACTAGGCAAAAACCTTAGATTGAAATATATCATATTTTTAAAGGATACAAGTTACTATCCAGTTTTCTGCTTATTTTCACTCTTGCAAAAAAAAAAAAAAAAGCAACAGTCATAAACTTGAAATTTTGAGAATCTAATTTGCTGCCTTACGGCTATATATGCAGCAGGAACAGCTAGCTGGCTCTAAGCACTGACTAGAAGAGTCTTGACTCTCTGTCGGACACACATTCACATACACTTATTACTATTACTATTACTATAATTACATGACATTAATATATTTTTTCTTCCTGTAAGGAACCCAGCTTACATAGGCCTCCTCCACTCCATTTTATCTTCACAACAACCCTGTGAGGTAGGTTAGGCTGCGAATGAGTAACTGGCCCAAAGTCCCCCAGTGAGCTTCATGGCCAAACAAGGATTAGAATCCGGATCTCTCAGATCCCCTGTCCAAGCTGGCTCTCACATACACACTGACCGGTTGCATAATTGAACACAACAGTAATAGCATGTTACTATCATGCTTAACAGAATTTTAATCTGTTGCTGGGCTGTTCCAACTTTACAACAACCACCTAGGAATGAGACATTGGTTACTTGGCAAAGTGTAACCGGGTCGGGAATAGCATGCTCATTTACTCATGGTCAGAAACATAGTTTGATAATCATGGGTTGCTTGATCATGTGAACTGGGTTGCTCTCACCTTAGCAAGAACACCAACCAAGAGAAGATAAGCCTAAGTGCACAAAAATCTAGCATTTTCCTGCCTGTATCAGCAGAGGCAAAGGAAGGGACAATCAGACACTCATCACCAATTTTCATATAATCACAGAAACCAATTACAAATGACTCAGAATATTTCATATAGGAGAAAAGTTATGGTGGAGTTTTCCATCCCAAACTTTAGGCACCCAGGAAGGCAGAAGCCTTCCATGCTTTTTACAGAAGTATGTTTTGGCAGCTATCAAAGAGCACCCTTCCTTTTTCCAATGGGGACAATGAAAGGATTAATTAGGGGTTTTTGTCAGGGACATATGCAAGAACACATGCCCTTGTCAAAACATCACAGGCAGACCTGTTCCTGCCCCCTTGTTTGTTGTTTTCAAACAAGCCACACTTGCAGGAAGAAGTCCAAGCTTGCAAGACATGACAATCCACCATGGCTTGTCATCCAGGATGCATTTTAATGTCATGTGACAACAGTCACCATAAAACTGGTATATTTTGGCTGCAATCTTATAAAGGTATATGTGAGAGTAGGTCCCATTTGACTAAACATGTCCAGGACTGAACTATTAAGATCCTGTTAAGATCTTTCTCCACTGATTTGCTAGGATCAATAAGATCATGACTGTAACTCAGAGAGATACCATGCCTCTTATTTTTGCTATTACATTACATGTTTTCAGAAGCTGCTTGCACAGAGTTGCTAAATCACTCATTAAACTCAAGCTTTCAAAAGTCTATGGATTTAATACAAGATCTTTTTTTTTTTTTTTTTAGAAAGGAGTTGTTCTTCAAATTTTTCCCATTAAACAGCTCTTCAATTAAACATGGGAAAGTAAGAAGAACAGTTTGGCTGGGTGTTGCAGAAGCTGTTCCTAAGCATTTGATTAACTCTCAGAAAAAATTAGTTACACAGAGACTAATGCACTACATTCCTGGACTACAGTGAAAAATAATTTGCCTTAAAACAATTATCACCATTGTCTTTGTGGAAACAAAAGTTTATCAATTTCTTATAATATAAAACTACTGTTATGACTTACTTTTATGGCTTTCTGTGCATTCGGCAGTCCTTCCTCAATATCTTCTAACAGTATTCCTCCCAGTCCTCGCTGATCATGTTTATCCAAGAGCCTTAGCAGGGCCTTTTTATCTTTCAAATTGTACTTAGGCTTAAAAGCATATTTCCCATCTATAACTTCTATTTTGGGATTGTTGACAAGGGCCTGTAAAACAAACAAGTTCTCAGTTTATAGGAAAGGGAACACATTTGTCGTATGCAGTTTGTTAAACCAATGATTTTAAAATTGTGTGGCAGCTTTGTGAAAACCGTGTCAGTTCTTACAACTGAACTATCACTGAGTAGCGTTAGTTAACATTTGATCAATATGCATATTTAAATTGGCCTTATATTACAAGGTGGAATAGTAGCATTGATTACCTCGCTCATTAACCATTGTTTCTGCTTCAGTCCAATATCCAGATGCTGTGTTTCATCCAATATTTCTTCTAGAGTTAATGGATGGGTATCACCACGCTGATGCCGTGTCTAGGGAGAGAAATCGTATCTGTTATGAACTATTATTAATTTTTTAAAATGACATGCCAAGGTTCTGCATGTAATTCATTTACAACAAGCATATGAAATACACACAGCTAATGACTCGGTACATAGTATAACAGCCTGCATTTCAATATTTTGCTGTATTATTGTGCTTGTGTCACAATACAATCCTAAGATTTTTTTTACATCAACACATAAATGCCTCCAAATGATGTGTACTAAGGAATACTCCAGTGTTCTATCATATCACAGCAGCATTTTAGCATCGCCATTATAGGAATTCAACTGCTGGGCTTTACAGGCTTTGCTGATGGTACCCCAGGACTTTCAAAGTCTGAACTGGTACTTACATTTACAAGAAAGGAGACCACCATCTAATTAAATGAATGGGAAAAATCCCCGCATCAAGGGAACCTAATAACACCTTGGCTACTTCAACTTGCACAAGGACATTCTCCGCCTATGCAACATAAGCAAGGCTCTTACAGTTGAAAGCGAGTTTGACTAATTCTGACAAAGTACATATGTGAAAAAGAAGCCCCATGCAATTTATTAACATTATTACCTCGCATTTTAATATTTTTATAAATAGATACCAAAGAAAAAGATACGAAGGGACCTTACACAACTATTATGTATGATACTAAATGTGGGAAATGTGTTGCCTATTTATCTTGGAAGGAACCCAAGACTGCTTACATAGCTCCATTTTATTCTCAGAGCAACCCTGTGAGGTAGATTAGACTAAGAGTGAGTGACTGGCCCAAAGTCACCCAGTGTGCTACACAGCTGAGAAGGGATTAGAAACCAGATTTCCCTGATTCCCAGTCCAACATTCTAATCGGCACACCACACTGGTTCTCAATCTGTGTTGAGGTGATGCAATTCTACTTTCAGCAGTAGCTTTCTACCAAAAACATACAGGATTGCACATATAGGCTGAGCTCTCTCTCTCAGCAGCAAACTCGTATCGCTTAATGCACAAAATGTGTGTATAGTTACAACTGGGCCAATGGGGCAAATAAGCTACAGGATCCACTCCCTACCCACCTTTTAAATAGAGTATGTGCTACAGTGCACATATGCATTAGCATTCATGTTAACACCGTGAATCAAACAGAACAAAATATAATTAAAAAGCAAGCACTGTTATAAACAATGAGGTCACCAAGGAATTCTAGGTTATATTTTAAGTGCTGCAGTTAAGTAAAAACAAAGCTTATTCTTGATTCATCATAAGCATTAAATGAGATGTTAAGAAAAACAGACCAAATGCTGACTTCAAATATCTCACATCTGTGGAGATTATAATTGCTGGCTTGATCTCTGTTTTCAACGGGCTCACTTGCACTTAAGGCAAACCATTCCCCATTAAAGATTACACTCTTACCCCAAAAATGGCCCACAGTTCCCAGTATGCCTCACTAGCCATGCTATCTGGGGTAAGCTAGGAGTAGTATGCATCTTTTCTGTCTGAACATGCACAGGAGTGTGCCTTGAGTCTGTGGGGGGCCTACGAACAAAATCCTGCCTTGTTTCTATTGCAATTTCTGAACAGGGTGAGTACCAAGTACCAAGTGCCACTGGAAAATGATGAACCCTGAAAGTTGTGTGTTGTCAGGCATGATGATGTAATATATTCAAATTAGAAGCCTTACCATGCAGAGCTTAACCAAAACCTGATTCTATCTTCCACTCTGAAGAATTAAGCACAAAACAACAGCCTTCAATTGACAGAACAATGTTCTTCCTGCAACAGGTGAACTTCAAGTTTAAATGTACATCATTTTTTTGCATCTACCACATTCTCCTATCAGTGATAAAACTGTCATGGCTGATGCAGTTAAAATAATTATACAGTAAAGGTGTGCGTTTCATTGTTCTAAACATTTGGAACAAAAAGACTGTACCTTCATATAGTTCACTATTTTTGCAAGGACTCCAAACTTGTAACCGGAGCCACCAGAAAGCGCTTTTAAATTGAAAGATCCATTGCTGTGGTCTGTAAAAGAAAAACAAGTTTTCACGTATTTCACACATGTAAACAAAAAATATGTTTTCACTTCCATTTTACAACCCAAACATGGCATGAATGCACCCTTCCATGAACATAAGCTGCTGGTTTTAATAGTTAATATTGTTTTCACATATTTTTGTTGTTTTGTAAATATTTTTCCATTTTTATGCTGCCTTGGGAGGGTTCCATCTTGAACAGCAATTGAATGTCAAGCAAACAAAAATATGTAACTGGCAACAGGCACTGCACAGGCACAGCACTCATATATATGTGATGCACGGAGACCACGACAAAGCTTTGGTGTGAATGAGATTTATGAAACCAAACCCGACCTGACCCTCAGGCCTTCCACTTAGCCTGCCTGAGCCACCATGCAGCTGGGTGGGAACTGCTTCTCTACCAAATGATCCCACAGTGATAAAAGTGTGTGTCAATCATCCACTACATGGATGAGGCCAACTGGTGGCGTATTTCTTACACACGCTTGGCAGCATGCCTAGTGCATGTGAACAGGAATGAAACCAGGCAGATTTCGCCAACCAGCATATCTGATTGTGTTCCTTAGAACTGCTTATGTGACAGAGTGCCTCATCTCTCATGTGCCTATGTACAAACTCCCAATTACTGCCTGTTTGGAAGGTTCCCTTGCTTGCAGAAGTGAAGGAAAAGGACACATGAAAGCATTTTTCAAACCCTGCCATGAGCAGTGAAAATGAGATTGTTCAAGAAAGCTTCCGAAATATATATTTCTGCTGCTTTTATTTGACTTAACTGGTATATATTGTTCACTGTTTTAATAACTGTATTCTTCATTTTTCTGCTTGTAAACCCGCTCTGGGACTAGACGCATAGGGTATGAAATAAAGCAAACTATACTGATAAATAAAATCTCCCCATAAGTCACATACCCTACTGCAAATAAGTCATTTATGCTCTAAGCAATGATTTATTTAGTGTTCTGAATAATTACTTGGCCAGCGAAAACACACCATGGTCACTCATCTAACCTTGTATCTTATTTTCCCCACAAAAGAAATAACCAAATCTTCAACTCTGCTTTAAGCTCCAAAATGTCCTACTTGCAAGTCTCTGGTTCTGGGCATTAGTCAGCAAAACCATGCACTAAAACAATCATCAACATAGTCTTCCCTAGATTCAAATGGCAGAAAAGATCATTAACTAAAAACAATTTCACTAAATGTTTCCATACACTGGCAAGGAGACATCTCAACAGTTTGCTAGCATTAAACACAAGCACTAAGGTGAGCTGGTGAACTGTCTTTTAGAAAGACTTAAGGAACAATCAGACTTCAGTGGGATTAAGAGTAATTAACTATGTATGATGATGTGAGAAGTGGAATTTATTATGTATTACAATAATTTATTTACCCATGATGTAGAAATACTACTTGAGAGAGCCCAGAATTAAAAAAAAAGAAACAACAAGGCCACTAATAGAAAAATTGATAAAGTGTTAAAATAGCAGCAGTTAAGTAGTTAACTAAGACGACACTGGAATAAAATAATTTCCAAAGGGATAGCCAAATTAGTTGGTTACAGCAAAAACAAGAAAGAATGTTGTTATATCTTCAAGGCTAACAAATTTGTGTTGACATAAGCTTTCATGGCCTACTGCCCAAATAATTGGATCATGAAGTGTTATTTGGTTTTTGGAATAAATCAGTCTTCAGTAACCCAAATGGTAGTCACTGGCAAGCAATATCTCCAAGGAAAGGCTGTTCCATAATTTCCTACAACAACTGAAAAAGTCCTCTGGCCACACCTAACATGGAGGACAGCCTATAAAATGGAACAGAGTTCTTGGACTAGTCTGCACAAGAGAAAGTAGTTCTAAAGCTACTGTGGTTCCAGGTCATTTAGGGACCTTAATGGTCAAAGACTCTACTTTGAATTGAGGTTGGAAACATATTGGAAATCAATGTAATTAGTATCAGATTGGAATAGTGGGCTTCCAGATGCCAACCAAAATACTTGTGATCACATTCTGGACCAGATGACATTTCTGAACTCTCTCCATGGGCAGCTCACATTAATATAAGCTGGAGTTGATTAACTACTGAAGCCAAGCCTGCTTTCTCCAAGACACAACTGTCATATCAAGTCAAGCTGGTACAAAAACTTCTAGCCACTACCCACATGAGCATCCAAATGCTCAGTCAAGGGTACTCCTGAGATAAAAACCTACTATTTCAGAGGGAATGTAACCACATCCTGGTTGTGCAGCTCCACTTGGATCCGCAGAACCTCAAAGAAAAAGTATATCTGTTTTACACGGATCAAGTTTCCACCTGCCGCTCTACTTTTCTTCAATCCAAATCTGCGCCAAATAATGGTTCAGAATTTCTATCTTCCAGGTGACTGATAACAGGAAAGAGTGGGGGAGGGAGGGATGTCATCACCATACTGATGACATCAAACCTTAATTTCCAAATGACCTATCCAGTGGTTTTACCTATATCAGGAGTCCTCAAACTTTTTAAACAAGGGGCCAGTTCACTGTCCCTCAGACTGTTGGGAGGCCGGACTATAGTTTGAAAAAAATATGAATTCCTATGCAAACTGCACATTAAAAATTTAATTAAAATTTAAAAAATTAAAAATGTTTGCTCCGCTCCCTCAGGCTGCAGCAGAAGCCCAAGATGAGGTGGGGAAGAGCCTTCTCTGGGCAAGCCACAGCTGCCTCACTGAGCCCGGGGGCAGCTGCTCGATGGTGGTGGTGGCTTGCCCATTGAAAGGCATGGCTCACATACCTCCACCGCAAGCTGCGGCCACCTCACCGAGCCCGGGAGCAGCCGCTCAACGGTGGCAGTGGGTTGCTCATTGAAGGGCAGGGCTCCTGCACTTCCGCCGCAAGCCGTGGCCACCTCACCAAGCCGGGGGACAGCTGCTCGATGGCAGCAGCAGCTTGTCCATTGAAAGGCGTGGCTTACACACTTAAAAATGGATTTTAAAAGTTTTATTTTTCTTACCTTCAATCCTTTTTTAGGGTCTTCATCTCTCTCTCTCTTCCGCCCTCTTCTCTTCTGTTTCCCACTCTGTATTCCCACTCTGTATATGCATGCAGTGGGTGGGGGAGGGGGAGCCGGCACAAGTGCAGTTGAGCTTTTACAATTAGGCATGTGCACCGGCTCTCTGCTCAGTTTCAAAGAATGCCTGCACCAGCTCAGAGCTTTTGGACTCACTTGGAGATCGTTTCCTCTGATAAATGAGCATGGCGGGCCGGATCTGTCCCATGGGCTGTAGTTTGAGGACCCATGACCTATATATTAAAAAAGCACAGGGGACCTTGCATTTTTTGCTGCAAAGGCCAAACAGTAATCTGCTAGCAACACCTTCATAAAAATCCCTCCCCCAGTTAATAACTAGTGTTGTGGCAAAGTGGTGCCTTCCAGCCCCATCCTGGCTAGGATATGGCTGTTGAAAGTACTGATCTGCTCCCAGTGAAGTCAACAGAATCACAATCCCTGGCCATTCCTTGATGTAAGTTGTTTAAGCAAGTCACAAGCCACTTGAAGCATTCAAGTAATTAATTTCATCAAAGAACAGCTAGTTGCCACTTGTGTTCCACACAAAGCATCCATTTTGCTTCACCTGCCTTTTACCACAGACTGTACACAAAGGGGAAGAGAATTAAATGGCCACTGAAAGAAGCTTATCTCGGAGTACAACTTTTTACCTTCTGTTTTTTGAAGGAAAAAACTGAGTATTCATTTCCGGGGTAATATCTTGGCAGGCAATAGGAAAATCAGAACAGATAATAGTTTTTTAAAAATCAAAAATGTTTTTACTTGATTTCAGCTAGGCCTATGTTTGCTATTTTCAAATAAAACAAACTCTTGTATTTACTGGAATTCATAACCCCCATCATCAGTGTATTCCCTACTGAAGCTAAAATGTACCCCCAGATCATTTCATCTGATGACTTTCTAACTACCTTTATACGAATTTGTCAAACTTTCAACAAATTTATTTTATTTAAAACTTTTGTATGCCGTCACCACATGCCTTGGCATCTAGGGACGGCTCACAATATATACAATTAAAAAAATAATAATAATCTTTATAAATAACAAATTCAATAAAAATTATGTAAGAACAAAAAAACCAAAACAAAAAGAGCAACTGTTCAACGATAAAAGATTAGTTTTTAAAAGACAACTTCATTTTACTAAAAACACCAGAGATCTGAATTTTGGATTTCTTCAGAGGCTATTTCCCCCATTTTGCAAAATATTGTTTATGCTTCTTCATCTTCGCATATTATCTTTTGCCGGCTATTTCAAGCTGCTACAAGCACTGCCTACAATATTATAAATAAAATAAATCTGAATCCAATTTCACAAATGTGCTGATTTCATAATTCATACAACCATTGCCTGATTTCCTTCCCTACTGCAGTTATACAAAGGAGGCAGAAGACAACAGTAGAAAATAGGAATACAAATCTTCTAAGGACAATTCACAAACCACAGACCAATGGCTCATATACCATAAATGTTTTACAAAGAAAAGGAAGACAAAAGGTGCTTACATCTTTAAGTACTCTCCCTCTGCGTGTGTGCGTGTCTATTCACATACATATTATATCAACACAATGATTAATTATAGGTGGCTCACCCCAACCAGATATGCCATTAAAAAGCAAAGAAGCTGAAGGTGTTAACACACTAAATGCCACGCTGAGATCAAAACACAAAAGGTCACATTGTTTATACATATATTTGTTAAATGAGCTGCTAGAAAAGAAAAACAAAAATGGGAGTTGGGGAGAGACCTGCTCAGATTTCTTATATATTTTGGATTTATGAATGATTTCCTCTTCGGGTAGGGGTCTGATGCAAATGAGCATAAAGGAAGTTGTCAGCTGCATTCTGCTTCAGCCAATAGTAGCAGGGCTCCATCTTAGCTGTATCAGAGGCTGTATTAAACAGCAGATCAGCTCTGTTCCATCATCCTTTCTGAAGAGGTAGGTCTATACCTTTTTTAAAAAAGATACTGTCTGTATTTTATCTGAAAGAAATCTGATTTCAAAATAACAGAACATCTAAGCATCCTATCTTTATACAATTATAAAAAATAAAAACAGTGTACAGTTCTTCTTGCATCTGAAGCTTGATTGTATGCTGCTTAAATGCAGAGACGCTTGCCTTGTACTGACAGAAAATCTTACCATCTGTGCATTTATGAAGAATTGATGAACATCCATCTTACCAACAGCCCTACACACCCAGATAATATTCTGAGAAGAATATCCTTTTGAGGCATTAAGTGACCTATGAATTAATCTAATTTTGCAAGGTAAAAACTAATAAGACTTTGATGCAGGAGTGTTAACAGGATTTATCTTTGAAGTCAAAAGATTGCTAAACTGCACATGAAAAAAATGTATTCTTCAAACCCTTTAAGCTGCTCTCTTAGACTAACCTTAACCTTAACAACTTCTTACAGTACCAGACTTGTTAACATGAACATGGCTTCACAGACGTCAATGGGACTCTACCAGTTCAAATGTTAAGTGATCATTGCCTTGGGCAGCAATCCTGTCCATGCTTACTTGGAAATAAGCTCCACTAAAAATCAGCTGAACTTATCTGAAAGCAAACATGAACTGTTAATTTATCCTGTGCTGGTTGATTAACAATGCAATTCTAAAGCTCCACTAAGTTTAACTGAGCTTTCTCTCAGACAAGTGGGCATAGGATCGCAGACAAAATCTATCAGAAGGTTCTGGAACTTACTCAGAACTGAGTTGCCATATGAAACCTCTCAACATAACCCAGATAATTTACTTTGCAAGTCATATGCTTTTACTTATTTCCATAGTGACATAAAATGTCACTGTTAAAATAACACAATCAGAAAGCAAATGGTACTTTTTTTAGTACCATTTTTAAAAATGAAAATGAAATAATGAAATAGCAACTGCCATTGACTATATTTGACTGTATAGGGAAATGCATAAATATGAAGTTTCCTGTGAAAACACAAATTTTGTTTACAATTTGCACTAGTTGGAAACTAAGTGGGTCATTGTGTGCAAAGAAAGAACTCAACTAAAGTTATCCTCGTAGAGATACACCACTAATGGGACTGTTATTCCACTTGCACAAACTCTGCCAGCACATCTTCATTCCACTTTGGGCTCTAGCATGTTTCACTAGTGAATATGCTTGGCCCACACAAATTCCACTAATGCATCTCACTGCTGCTTGCACAACCAGTGGTTTTGGTAGAGACATGCAAGTATGATTTGATTTAACAGAATGATACCACTGATTTAGTGAAACACACCATGGGATACTGCCTTAATCTTTGTGCCACAAGATTGAACTAATAGGAGTAATTCCATTTATAGAAATAAGGTGTGACATTTTTCTCTACACAGACATTTTGCATTTGAGCTCTTTTACTTAATATTGTGTGTTAACTATAAAACATTGAAGTGTATCGCTTTTTAATCCTTTTATAAATCTGTGGACCTCTATCAGCTCCATTGGCTTCCCATCGAAGTCCGGGCTCAATTCAAGGTGCTGGTTATTACCTGTAAGCCCTAAACAGCTTGGGACCAGGATACCTAAAGGAACGCCTTTTTCCCTATTTGCCCTCCTGCCCCCTGAGATCGGCAGCAGAAGCCCTCCTCCGGGAACCCTCTGTGAAAGATATTAGGAGATAGAGTACCCAGAGGAGGGACTTCTCTGTGGTGGCACCCTGTCTGTGGAATGTGCTCCCCAGAGGTCTGCCTGGCGCTGTCATTATATGCTTTATATGCTTTTCGACGCCAGATTAAGACCTTTTTTTAATCAATATTTTAATAAGTTTTAATATTGAATTGTATTATTGTATTTTATTAATTGCAGCCAGAGTGGGTCATCAATTTATTTATGCTGTAGCCATCCAGAGACATTAGTAATTGGATGGCATATAAATTTTATTTATAAATAAACAGATAAATAGATAGAGCTTTATAATGCTACTTGATAATAATACAGTTCCACCAACCAACCATCATCTAATCAAATTTTAAAAATATACCTTCAACAGTAACTCCACTTTAAATATTTTTTTCAACATGTTGTACTAATTCCCCCAAATAACAACTTCTGGTTCAACTTTTCTAGGCTAGTTAATAAAATAATAAAAAGTCACCACTAATTTTATTGGGATTTTCAGGAATTCCTTTCTTAGAAAAGTGTTCAATAGGCAGCTATTTCTCTGAATTATGGAGCAGGCAGGTTCAGGCTATGTATTTTGTCCATAATGCTCCATGTTGCTTTCTACTGATAGTAAAATGCAAAATGCATCTGGAGTGTCTGCATGCAGTTATAGTCATCAGCAGCAAATTTGTCAAATCCTATGGTTAAATGGGATCTTTTGGCCCACACTCCTCTACTACAGTCCACTGCCACCAAATAGGCACAGGCGGAACCTGAGACGGAATTTTGGGTAAGCAGGCTCCTTTTGGGTAAGCTCTGCTCCTTTCTCCTTTTTGTGCTACTTGACAAGGTCAGAGTACATTATCAGTCCAAATACCAGTTAATTAACAGTGCAAAATCAATCTCATGGGTCTTTTTGCATCTTCATCTCCCCCAGTTTGAAATGTTAAAGCACAACATTAGCCTCTAATTAAAAATAGCCATATAGCCATTTAAGACAATGGTAGTTCTTTCCAGAACAATTTTAAATTCTACTCATTAGCTTTCCATTTATGTGTATTTTCAATGCCCTGGCGGGAACTTGATGAACCACTGCAGGAAAGCTACTTTCAAAGGAAAGCAAAACTATAAGGGAATATATCCCTTCTTTTTGGATTGGTAAGCACATTTGGAATTTTGAGTAACATGGGCACTCTCACAAGGGTTACTATGAGGGCCTGCTCATTTAGAACATGGCTACGAAAATGGGTATGGCTGGTCACAAAACATCTATTTTTCAGAATGCAAACTGGTAATGCTAAAAGTCACTTGCTGAAGAAATGAAGCAGAGGGCACAGCTGTGGGCTGAGCTTCTTAAACACAAAACCACTCTTTCAAATCCCAGCAGAGATAGTGTTGAAGGGCAGCCCAGTGATTTGCAACATGCCAACCTCCCCATAAAAGACAGCAACTAAAAAAACTCCATCCAAATCATGAGGGACAGGTGTCCCTTGTTTTGAATCCACTGGCATGCTACTATTTGTGGCCACCACTTTAGATACCTGAGATGCAGGGTATTAGGTTCAAGATCAGCTGCCAAACAACCCTGAAGGAAGTCTCAGATAGTTGTCATTCTCAAAGGAGGTCCTTCCTGAATCTAAGTCATCATCCAGCTGGAAAAACTGTCAGGTAATGTTGAAGATTCAGTTGCAGAAGTGGTGTCCTGATGCCCAGAAGATGTTACTAATCACATCTCTGGAGTAACCATGGACTGCAAAGATGACCCACTCATTCTGCAGAGTAGGATGCAGAATCTCTGGGCCCTGAAGCAAATGGTCAGGAGTAGCTGGAAGTGGCCCGGTCTTAGTTGCAGCTTCCTCTTCTCAGTGACCCTGACTGGCATCACTACTCTCATGTCACCATTACTGGTGAAGAAGCAGCAATGTCGGCTGCTTCCGTGTCACCAGGGGCAGGAGGAGGCTGTCGTCTCTTCCTCTCCCGTTGAACTTGACTGATGGCAGGAAAGGGCAACGTGGGGATGCTATTTTGGCAGCAGACAGGAGAAGCATGTTGCTGCACAATCAACATCAGAGGGCTGCTTGGAGACTATAGGCTGCTTTAGGATGAGTATAATATTCTAGAAAAGAAGGCCAAATAGAAACTTTTCACTGAAGGGTTCCTATTTATAGAAACCTTACTTAGCATTTTAAAAAGTTATTAACACTTCATTGCAATTCTTTAGAAAGCTAATTTCATTGTTCCATTGTAACTAACTTGCTTTTGCTATTAGCATAAGCAGTGAACCTGCAGATGACTTTTTTTGTTCCAATAAAGATCATGGTTTACAAATACACTGCCATTATTTTGAAAGTATTGGACTACTCAGACACTCAGTCCAAAACTGACAGCACATGCTTGCAGTACAGTAAAAAGAAACACTGTATAGCAAGAGTTATAGTCCAAAACGTTGCTTTATTAGAAATAAAACAGAATCTATAAGGAATGCAGCCATAGCTCAACATGACTAGATGTTGCTTCTTATAGGAAAAAGTACCCGCAATCAACCAACTAAAATATTTCAATTTTATTTTGTTCTGGAAAGAAAAATAGCAGAAAATTCTCAAAACAAAGGAAAATTGCCAACTATATTTTTCTATTTGTTTTTTTCAACATGCAGAGCTCCTGAAGAGCCCAGAGGAGTCTGGAAATATGGCAACCTTCAACACTAGTCGCTGGAATGAAACCGCATCCCTTTACCAGTACCTTGGTTTTCAAGTGCAGAAAATTTACCCTTTCCATGATAACTGGAACACTGCCTGCTTTGTCATTCTAGTCATATTTATATTTACTGTAATATGTTTAGTAGTGCTAGCTTTCTTATATGAGCTGCTTGACTGCTGCTGCTGCGTGAAAAATAAAACCATGAAAGACTTAGAGAATGAACCCAATCCTGTTAGATCTATGATGGACAGCTTCAAGAAACGTGAAACTGAAGTGGTGTAGTGGTGGACTGATCACTAGCACCTGCATCAAAATAGATGTTCAACTTTATAATGAAGCCTCTTGCATCTTAGGACCAAGCAAATCAGATCCTGCTTAGCCTTAAATATTATTATTAGCACTGTTTTTTGTTTGCTGGTGAATAGAAATCTGAACAGTTCACAAAATACTTATTTCTGGGTGATGAGTCACACTGTTATGTGAAAATGTAAATTTTCATTTTGTTTCACAATGAACTGTTGTTGAGTAGGATTGATGAGTTGAGTAAACTTGTTCATTCAACCAATGTACCTATTGTTTCATTTATTAAAAAATATACTCCATCCTTCAGCATATCTACTTGTAGGCAGCAAAGAGATTAAAACAGATTTAAAGCATTTCAAAGCAAAAAGTAAAAATACATTCAGGCAGCAGAAACAGTACAAGCAAATCAGCAGCAGGAAAGTTGTTTTAAGTAATATTTATCAAAAAAGTTTTTGTCATCATGATAGTCTAAGAAACCAAAACAAGAAAATGTACAGCCATGGCGCATTTTAGAATAAGTACTCATACTTGAAGAAATTAGATATAAAGATTATTATGATGATTATTTGAACAAGTCTCAAGTATTTTAAACTCTTCACATATATAATCTTAGAGTCTGGGTAGCTTCTGGGTTTTTAGTGTTTCCCAGAGTTATGTAAAAAAAAAATTAAAAAAAAATCTGCACTACTACCTAGGTGGAGGGTTGAGAAGTTTGCTCAGTTAAGGACAGGGAAAATCCAGTAGTATATACTTTGCTTTTCAGTTGAACATTTCTTTTTTATATCTAAAAGAGACAAGAAAGAAGCTCTGCTAATTCAAAGTAACGCTCTTTTCTGCCCCTGCTTTTGAATCAGGCTAAGCATTACAAGCAACTTGGCCTGCCACCTAAGAGAGCAACCTTGTGCAAGAGCATATCTTTACACCCAAATCTGTGACAGTCAGCATGATGGCCTGAAATCACTATACGAATTTCCTATCACCACCCATTTAAATGGAGCAGCAGTGATGTCAGAAGATGCAATGTTTGGCAACAGCCCTATATAACATTTAGTTCTCATGAGGACAGCAGTCTTCTCCTAATCAAAGCCACACCCACAGAAATTCATATCTTACCTCAACACTACACAAGAAGCACTTGGTTGAATTATAACACGCATAATTCTTACTTCCAGCACTGAAAATATATGATCACTGACTTGAAAAAAAGAAGCAGGGGATGAGAGTGGGGAAGAAGAGTAATTATGCAACAGGAATGGATGAATGCTTATGCATGCGTTATTACTTAAGTTTCTTTGTGCTATTGTGAGCAGCCAGCAGGACTCTTTGACACACTGTACCTTTCTTGCTTGCACAGGCTCCTATCAACAACTACAAACAATATTTCAACTTCCAAAATAAGAATCTCAAGAGAAGTAGGTGGCTTCCAGGAAAAGTGGAGAGGCATGCCCCAGGAGCTCATTCCACATTTCTCATTTCTAGGCTGTGACTTGACATAATTTAAAAAAAAAAAACCATCAAAGGATATCAGCTTCTTACTAAATAAACTTTTGCTTCTAAAAGAAGAAGTATGCAACAATCTGATCTGTATGACTTGGAAGTTTCACTACAGAACCAGAGAGGCAGAACCCCTAAGTAATTATGCTAACAGAACTGACATTCACCCAGGTCATAGCAGAGAGCTCTGACAAAACGTGATCCACTGGAGAAGGAAATGGCAACCCACTCCAGTATCTTTGCCATGAAAACCCCATGGACAGTACCAAAAGGCAAAAAGGTATGACGCCGGAAGATGAGCGCCTCAGGTCGGATGGTATCCAATATGCTACTGGGGAAGAGCAGAGGGCTAGTACTAGTAGTGCCAGAAAGAATGAAGTGACTGGGTCAAAGTCAAAAGGACACTCAGTTGCAGATGCATCTGGTGGTGAAAGGAGAGTCCGATGCTGCAAAGATCTATACTCCATAGGAACCAAGAATATAAGATCCATGAATCAAGGCAAGTTGGATGTGGTCAAACAAGAGATGACAAGACTGAACATTGACATCTTAGGAATCAGTGAACTAAAATGGACAGGAATGGGTGAATTTAATTCAGATGACCATCAGGTATACTACTGCGGGCAAGAATCCCTCAGAAGAAATGGAGTAGCCTTCATAGTCAATAAAAGAGTAGGAAAAGCAGTACTGGGATACAAAATGACAGAATGATCTCAGTTCGAATCCAAGGCAAACCATTCAACATCACAAT